AATGTTGTCAATTTTAATTTCAAACTTAAGTACAATATTATATCAATAAAACATGCTTCATATATTTTTTCGTAAATTAACTAAGCTTCTTATTCAAAAGTCTCAATAATGTTATAAAAATTGCCGAATAAACATCTAATAGTCGCTAAAAATAGCATCGCATGACAACATGATAATAATCGAACAAGCTTCATATGTGATCTGTGGTAATTAATTACCGGTATTTACTGAGATATGTGCCACAACTGCCACCTAACTATACATGTTCTTACGATTATCGGCCTTCTAAAGAGCATGATACATGACATAACTTTGTAAACAAGTAATTGCTGAATTTATAATTATCACTGCGTTGCACACAATATCCGGCGTTGCATCTGATTTTCCTTTATTTATGCTTTTTAAAACACGGACAAAAGTAAGTTGAATTTGTCATTTCCCACATGTCTCTATAAAGCTATTCATGATTGAAAATCATCACGGCACGACGTTTCTTCCCAGCGTAAAAATATGGAACGAGAGGATAATTCTGAACCACCATTTTTTGTCCCTATCCGTTTGATTCTAACACAATTACTGAGATTCGCCACTAAAAGTACCGTTTTTTAGACTCTGAACTAAGAAAACAAATTTAGTTTTTTTGAAAATCTTCGTGTTTCTAAGTATAATAATTATTTGTGAAAATACATGTTTTTCCATGTTTATGTGGTAGGGCAAATGAAACTTTAGGTTATTTCTCCTCGTTGGAAAAACAATTTAAAAAAATTTAGACTCCTAATTCCGTTAAATCTTTTGAAAAACCTATGATTTTCGCAGCTGCATCATAATAATATCCACTTGAAAGTTGTGTTAAGATATATTCGGTGCATTACATTTAATGTAAAACATTCCAGTTGAACACACATAGGTGGCGTGAACAATCGATTAAGTAAGTATGTATTTACAGACAAAAATAGGTTTAAAACTGATTATGTCATTTATCATCACCAAATTAACTTCATTGAAAAAAAAATTAAAAAAAAGTTTTCAACTAATTGAGGTAAAAACGTCCAACAAATCATATCATATTTTACGTTAATTAATTCTTTTTCTCTTTCTTTAAAAAACTTTCATTGGCGTTTTCAAATTTTTATGTCTAATTTCGAACTCCTATATTAGTCCTAAAAAAATATTCAGATTTCAGCTCTCTTCTTGATAAATAAATCTATTACATTACAGCTTTGCGAATATATAATAAACTTGTTATTTGCAGTTTTATTACCGAAATCAAAAAACAACAAGTTCATTCAAATTATAGATTGTTGATATGGAAACCTGTTATTCGAAATGTGCAATTAAAATGAAAGAATATTATGAATTGTTGCCAGCATAACCATACACATTGCCCGAGGAAATTTTTCAATTATATATTCGACATGTATGTAATATACAGGCGTCGCCCACAATAAATTAATTATAAATTATTTCATAAATGACATCATAAAACTTCAAGAGATAAACTCGACTAGTACAATTTCGAACTGCATCCGCTTAATGAGAATGCGTATCGCCGTTTTGTGTGCTATGCAGATTGCAGTACATCCATATACTACAGAATTCAGCATTTTTTTCACCATCCTGTTGTTTAGTATATCAAAACAGTATTAAATATGACGGTAAGAACTTTATTGTAGTTGTGAGGCCACGATCAAGGACAGCATTGACGATGAACGTTATCTGAGCATAAAGTTTATTTTTCATTCGGATCTGCAGGCTTTTTATTTGAATAGATTTATGAAAAGCATATGAAGTAGAACAAGCACTTTCAAGTCATTCGCAGACTTACTGTGAACAAATCTATTGACAAGCAAATACACTACACCCGTAGATAATAGGGATGAAGATATCGAAATGTTATGGGTTTTCTTAGATCCAGAATGAGGCTGGGAAAAAAATCGCATTATGTATACTGATCAGCTGATTCCAAATTGTATTTATATTTGATAGAGATTCATTGATAACAGACGTAACAGCATTGAACGATAAAGCGTTGATTTTCTAATATTGCAGTTCTTGTTTGAAATAAAATCTTTGATGTTAAACCTAAATTCGACTGGACTGGAATATTCTAGATATCACACCGAATATGATTACCTCAATTGACAATGAATTTTTAATGTAAAATGTTTTTTAGCCCAAATTGGCGGTGTTTAACACAAATATTTCAGGAAATACGGCATACCATTTCAACGGAACAGCAATCAATCTAAAATTCACTTCAGGATACAAAAATATAAATGTCAGAAATAGAATAAGGCAGCAAATAGATTTAATTGCGCATTAGGTATAATGCCTAACACATTATTCCAAAAACTCGGCCGGCATTTTGATGAATAATGCGAATTATTTGTACCAAATACCATAATTTTTTAGTTATTAATCCAAAAGCAATATTTAGATGCGTAAAGAGATTGTTATCAGAACATCCATACTTCAGTAATTTTTCATTGTTTTATAATAGTGCACAACAACAGGTTGACCAAGTGTGAATTTTATACTAAATTGGTGGCAATAAATAAGTGAGTATAGTCAAGCTTGATCAAGCGTGACTTAAGAAAATTACAGTTATGTTGGATTGTATTGGAAGTAAATAAACAATCGCCATTTGCCTGTAATTCTTTATCTCTACGATAATCACTAATTACTACGATCATCTAATCAAAACATGTCCGATTATGTTTTAAACCATGGGGGTGTCAGTGGATTAAAGTATCATGCTGTGGATTATATTGTATTAAGTTGTCATTATTATATCCAGTGAGCAAGCAATAGGATAAAACTGAAAGTTCGGGAATCCGGCATATACAGACCAAGATTCGACTAGAATTTTGTCTTTTGTTTTTCATTATTAAGTAATGGGCATGTTATAGTAATGTTCGCATATTAGGAAATTGCATTATGTGTTATCTTGTTTCATATTCGACGAGGTTGAAGTTAGCACAAGTACAAAGTAAATGTCGATTGGTTATTATCTCATGGAGCTGTATCAAATAAATCGTGTTGCAGCAGATTGAATATACCACTTGAAAAGTTTACAGATTCCGAAAGAAAGTACTTAATATAAATTTTCTAAGTCCACATTTTCCGTCATTTTCAACATCCACAATTGTCCGGTGAGTGCTGGACGCTGTAACTAAATTGGCAAATAAAATAAAACAAATATTTTAAATTACTTTTGGTTTATTTGCTGTCATCGCCATCGATTTACCCTTAACAACTCAAGGCTAAGAAGAATTTATTGAACGCTCGACTCTAAAATTTGAAGCCTCCGCAAAATTATTTCTTGAACTCCGAAGGCAATAAATAATAATTTGAACTGAAATGACGTAATTAACCGGTAACAGTTAGCGAATCGATATGGTTGTGCACTTTTATTTGCATTTTTAGAATAAAATTTAGTATTTTTGCAACATATGTGACATATGTGGACAATCAGCTATATTTATCTGCGTCCAATTAGGACAAGATTTGTTTTATTGTCATTTTAAGTGAAATCATAAGAACTGAATTCAAAATAAGAAGGATTTTTCATCAAATCTGAACTTAAAAAGAAATATCAATCAAAAGCGTTAACCATTTTGTATCTTTGGTTTTGTGTTTAAACTTGATTGGAATAGATGACCACTGGCTTTCTATACCATTTCTATACCAATGTTGGCGGAATAAGACTACCAGCTTCAAAAAGTACAAATTTGGTATCAGCCTCAAATTTGTTTGTAACGATATCATAAAAATTGTTCCTGTTCAGATGAAAGATCACTGCTGTTAAGTTCTTGAATAGGATTCTACGTGTATAAGCTGAAGCAATATCACGAAAACATTTCTATTGCAATTTTATAGAAAAGGCGCGTTATTTTGTAAGATGTTAAATTATGCCCCCTTTTTAATTTTAAAAAGCCAATAACAAGTCCCAAGTCAGATCCATTGTTCGCAAACTCTATCCGGGGTAACCTGAACCCATGTCTTTTGTTCGTCACTATTTCGTAATTACTGAAATAATTTACTTTATCTCGAGTGCTTAGTATAAAAAAATTACCATTAAATCGAATTCTGCCTTGTTTGGGCCATTATAGGTTCAAGCGCCGCCAAGTAAGACGTCCTAATGTTTCCCACACCAGATGCTATGATGGTTTTCCTGATTTACTGTTATTTTTTATAATAGACGATGGCTATCATCATGTTACCCGCCTTGCGTAATCATAATCAAGAGTAAAAAGATGCTCTTTGCTTCATTATCGCAATGTTGTTCGAATTGTCCGCAGTTATTGATAGCATTCGGTGATGGCGGGGTGCTGTTGAGTTATGCAGAAAGGTTATTTTAAGTCGGTCTAAAATGATTTAGGTTAGACGTTGCAGTACTCATTATTTGTGAGGATTTAAAGTAGTGTATTGCTTTGCAGGAGACAAAATTTAGTGCATTCCACTAAGCTACAACTGCGTTGTAGTTAGCACTGGCGTCATCAAACATGATTACTCGTGCATTGTGCGAAATATATTGTCGGTTGTTTAAATAAAGGCATCGTGAGTTGGCCCAATTCATACAGATGGTATGGGCATCCCTTTTATTTAGACGGATTTCAACATGATTTTATTTTATGATTCAGTGCTTTGTAGGTTATGTGTAGATTGAAATATTTCCTGTAGTGTACTGATATTCAAGTAGCAATTACTCAATAACTTGCTTGGAGATGTATTGTGCGATAGTTATTGCTAGAATTCGAGAGGATTTTCCAAGCCACTCGTATTAGCTTGGATTCGTAGATTAATCTGGTTCTCCTTTCGTCGAAATTTCTGGACAACTTCTTCGCCCGTTATCTCATCGAGATTTCCCCTTTCTCTCATCTCTCGAATTCGTTGTTCATTTCCTCGGCTGGCTTTTCTCTCCTTTTCAAATTGTTGATTATTTTTTCACTCCTCCATATCCCTCTAATAACAATAACAGCAATATTCCTCGCTTTGCAGAAAATTGAAGCTAATTGAATATTCAAGAAGTCAAAATAGCATTTTTGCACATTTTTTCTGTCGAGCGGAGATGCCGCTTTGCTCTCAAGCCGCACCTTGAAGACGCACGAAATACACCTTCCACTTAGAGATTTCTCGACGATGTCGCGAAGGAAGCAGTCGAAACCTCAACACGTGGATTTCACCAACGACAACAAATCAAACTCCACTCTTGTAACAAGCGTAGCAACACTCCCAGGGCACGCGAATTGCGTAAAAGAGGTTTTACGACCAGAACAATACGTTGAACACAGTGTGCGAAACGAGAAAGGACTGCTCGGTAGCTCCGTCGATACGTTGCACAGCGGAATAACGACACAACCCACTACGTTGAACGAAGTGTCCGATCAAGATATTACTAACTTTGACTGCAAAGCCAACGATACAGACAAAATCGTAGAATCCGTTTCTGTGATAGAACCTATCAGTGATCACATGGCGTCCATTCCGGTCACGGGTATCGAAGACCGGAGTTGCGATGTGGGTCTGGCGGAGTTGACGCCAATTCGAAGAGGCCAATCTGCTATTTCTCATCGAGCGATGCTACACGCTGGTTACACCGAAGCGAACGAACAGAATAAAACTGAAGAAAAATCGACCATGAAGTTTAACAGATTTGGCAGTGAATCCCAAAATGACACAGGTTAGTAAAAACTTTAGTTAACTCATATATTTATAATTTGTTGTAAATTTCCAACGGAATCCATTTTGAGCAAACTCGCTGCTTCGTTCCAGTGTTTACATTTTATCGAGTTTTGGGCTTTATCGAGTTTTGGGTTTCTAGCAATACATCAGTTGCATATTTACTGCTACTCAGAATAGGTTTCTTTTTGATTGCTTGGATACCACATCCCATGTTGAATTTAAAAGCTGTTGTTATTTTGTAGTAATCTTTGGCAATTAGGTTTGGTTATTTGACAGTGCTCATCACGCTTACCCCAGGATATTGATAAAATATATATTGTATATTCGATAGAAGATATTGCCTAGGACTATAATTATGATTTCATAATTAGATATTAGTGGCTGGAAAGTATTTTTGAAATTTTACTGTGTCTTCGAGATATGTGACAAAACTTCATATTAAATTAAATTTCTTGTTTGGAAGGGTGGTCTGGTCCTTGTTCATGATTTTCACGTTTTATCAATTTGTGAAGTTTCGTTACCACTTTATGGCCGATTGCAAATTGAACTAAAACGTTTTATAATGAAAACTAAAAACATAAACGCGAACAAAGCTATTTATTCATGGTCGTAAATATTTCTCGCAACGGGACAATTAAATGTTATGACACGTTACGATACGGCGTCTTTCTTTGAACATACTTATTAAGTTTGACCGGCGGTTGCAATATGAAACGTTTCGTCTTGTATACGAATATCGGAAATTAGATGGGCAAATTATAAGAAATATATAATTTCGCGCTCACGCATAAAGTGCCATGTATGGTCTTATATGCCCAAACAATTTTAAAACAAAGTTTATGATCTGACTAAATCGTCTTGTGTATTGACGGCATCGACTCCCAAATTAAATCAATTTTTTTTGTAAGTTTACACACCCGTTATTCTTTTATCCAGATAAATAAAAACAAATATGCGTACAATATATGAATAATGATTTTGCTTTGATGTGTTTATAGCAACGGAATTGAATTTTGTGTATTAACTAAATTTTCCTCCCCACCACGCGCAACCCGCAAAACTCAATTCCATATTTTATGACCGTCTGTACTGTTTGTCTCTGGATTATGTCTGGAAAAATTGAAATACCTTCCGTGGCATTTTGTGTTTTTATGTTATGGCCACGTAGGCATCTTTTAATTTTCTGCCATATTTATATTTTCTTTTAATCTTAAGTTTTATTATGCAATTATCTTTTTAACGTTGGGGCATGTTTTTTTCGATTGTTGTAATTTAAGTCAAATAAAGTATCAACTATAATACATACATATAAAAAGATATAAATTTGGCTAAAAATCACATTTGTGATATTTTCATGGAACGCCCACAAAAACAATGTAGTGCAATCAATATATCTGATATTGATATGGTAGACTTGTATGGCGGAGTTTTCAACTTTGTTCTTTACTCTACGGTGGCCACATAAATTAAAAATTTGTTATAAACAATTGTGGATTTGAGAATCATCATGGTTAAACGTTTTGCATTCGAGAATGCGACAAGTAGTCTAGTCAAAATCCAATATTGGAAAATGAAGTCCTGAATCTCAGAATTATCAACACTAATTGATCTATTTTCAATCTGATCTTTATTTTCCAACAAATTTGTTTTCATTCCTTATCTCAAAATTGAAACGCGTCGCCTTCTTGATACAAAATAAGACCATATGTCGCCGTTTCATTTTTGAGATTACAAAATTGCATTACCGCCATATTTGAAAAATTATTCAGACGGGTCGTCATTCATGCTTTGGTAAACTAATGGCACATTTTCACGCCGCTGCTTTTCTACAAAATAATTATTAAAAACAACGTAAAATATACGAAAATAATGAACCTATAGGAAATATTAACCATCTGAAATTAAGTTCAAAAAGCAATCTATTGCCGTGAATTCTACAAGACTGTTACGATGTGGATAACTGTGGTAACTGATATTTCATTGTCAATATCAACTTCTTCGCAGAGGAAGTTGAGGAAGTTTATTTTTTTTTACAATCAATGCTCTCAACACTTCACCTTGTTATGTACTACATATGTTCGCATCATATAAATTTATACTTGTCAATTCAATTTGGTATTATCCAGTGGACTCCAATTTTCAAGTTTCCGAATATAAAAATGATTGGTGATTTTTATGATATTTTAAATAACAACCTAGACCTCAATGCAGTGCAATGAATATTGATAAACACCACTCTCCACACGCCTTAACGCTGACCCTCGCCAATCCATGTCTAAGCGAACTAATTATCGTTCTGTGCCCAAAATGGTAATTTTTCTTAGACTGTCAACTATTGTTATGGTATATTTAAGGTGAAGGTTTATTTTTTATTTAAAAAAAAACTATTTTCAAAACTGATGAAAAAAAAACATCGAGCCATATTTCAGGCCCTCGAGATTCGAATACAAACAAGCCGTGAAATATATAACGTTATTATAATAATTATTAATCGCATTATATTTAGTTTTATTCCATTAAGTTCTCTCTGAAATCACAATTTACTTTAATGTGATTCCCTGGTGGCGTAGGAAGCATGCGGTTGAATATAAAATTATAAAATAAAATTGAAAATTTGAACGAATTTTAATCGCTTCAATACATACGCTCGCCTTCAAAATTTATTTGTTTTGTTTCTTATTAAATTATTTTATTCATTCATCTTTTGCTAAAAGGACGTAAATGAAATCACTGATTGATTAATTTTTTCCGTCCCGAATGACTCGATAATTTTTCTCTGTATTTCTCGTTTCTAATTTGTTTTAAAAGTTTGAATCTTGAATAAGCATTTATTGAAATTATTAGAATGGTAAGAGTTGGGACTGAATATAGATAGTCGATAAGGTTCAGAATAATTTATTAAAATACACGCAGAATAGTGAAATGTAAAACACCTTGACGAGTCACACAGAATATTCCGATTCTTGGATATTAAAAGCAACAATACACCCCCATTCATGTGAAAACTTAAAATAAAACATGCATATTAATGACGAGAATGACATCGTCTCTGTAAGTGCGACCTCTTACTACTTCGTCCTCGACATCAGAAAACTCGTTTTGGTGCTGTATAACGATTAATATTATATGCCATTTAAAATAAGCTTCAAAATTATGGAATAAATATAGACGAGACCTTTTATTTTCCGACCCGTCGAAGTTTTGATGTCAAAAGTGGTGCGAAATAGCTGTAATGTCACTTATCATACTTCCATATTCCATGCAATATGCATGACGATACATCGGCGATGTCAAAACGGTTCTTTTCAATGCGTCATATTCAAATAAACTGTAAAATATTCTTCTGATCACGCATAACTTAATTTATGGGGGATTCGACGCACATTACGCTGGTTGCGCTTGCCTGTTCATGAGCGCCCAGCAATAGTTGTTACCATGTCGTTTACCACACAGCGGGCAGTTGTTTAAAATATTATGTTTGGTGGAATATTTTATTATTTTTGCGTATGATGCTTCTAACGGAAAAGACCACTCTCCGGACTACTTTTATGAATAGAATATCATCTTTGAGAAGCAGTTGCCAATTGGAGCGCTATTCGGATAATAAAAAAAACCAGAATGATCAGTAAGGTTTTATGGAAATTAAACAGTAAATTATCCACGAAATGTGTTATCAGTTATCACACGAGTAGAATATGTCGCATATATATATATGTATCTCAGTAATCATTCATGCTGAACTGATAAATATTGTTACGTGTTCCATTAATGTCTCGTACACGAATATGTTTGACTGAGTCACATCATGTCGAAAACAATACGTCATATCTTCATAAATTATATATCAATAAGATTGCAATTTCATCGCCATATAGCAGCATACACATTACAATCAATCAGTTTCAATCAACATATTTCTTGAATATTTATATCATTTATTTATATTTTCATTATTATTGATAAAATCGTCTCTAAGAGTTGGGAAGTGACCCATTGTGCGGACGATGTGTGGAAGATCCTGCAGTAAAGTAAAAAACTAAATATGGTGAATCAATCAATGTCAAATAAAAACAATGTGTATGGAAAAAAATTGGGAACAAACTCAAATTTCTATCTAATATGATACGTCTTTATAGGTTGTAGGGTTCTTCAAGATCTAAATAATTTCAAATATTTGAAAAATTAAACTTGATAGCTTCAATGAAGTATGCCCAATTGAGCAAATATATTCATTTTTCTACATAATTTTTTATCATATTTGTGACCGATAATAATATAAATGCTTCAAAATTATGGAATATCAGAAACTTAGATAAATGCCTCTTAATTATGATCCATCGTACACAAATACTGAATGACAAAATATCAGAAGTAACATATGCTTAAAGAGGGCTTTGGGACATTGTGTGACAAGGACGTTACTTTGTTTCTCAATCAAACCCATCAAGTTTTGTTGCAGTCGATGTTCGTATTGAATATTTTGCTTTACGAGTTATCAGTTTTTCTGAATTCGGTAAATTATGAGTAATCGAGTACGTAATAGACTAGATTCTAAGAAATGAATTTGATTCGTGTTAGCGTTCCAGAATCCACGAATGTTCTTTGCTTTTTTGGTCTTCTGTTTTGAATGTACTCTTTTTCCCATTGTCTCGGTTTCGCTAAAAGTCTTGGTTTCTCGAAGTAAAAAACTCATTTTTCAATATCAGTATTTTAAAGTTTCATATTTATCGAATCTTTTATAGTCTGATATCCCGGCATAGATATAACTTAAGATTCATATATTATTGTGCAACTAGTAAATATAATACTGTATAACCCTTAATCTAGTGCTGATCAATTCATATTCCCGTAATCAATTATTTAAATCTAGCATGTGTTGAAAATATCATATTTCCGTTATTATATCGTATGGTTATATTCTTAAAACTTATTAGATTTACGTGCTAAGGATGGAACAGGGGTTTCTAAATTTTTTTATATTGCTCGTGTATGATTCAA